CCTTGAAAATAAGCCAAACATGGTACCCCAGAAGCTACAGAAATTGTCTGACCGAGCCCCATTTCAGCGGCGCCCAAAACCCATTGACTTTTGCTTCCAACATAGTTATTAAATAATTTAGGCTTTACCATGAAATCTGGAAGTAGAACCCAACAAACTGGATTGCTCTCCAAACGAACTAATCTTTTGTAGGTAATTTTCAGAAGGTCGACAGAATGCGGTTGAATGAAACCCAATAAACATTTGTGGGCGCTGCTTTGTTTCTTCCTCCCCATCCGTCCACATTGAGGCATCCCTCCTTGGATGTGCAAGCTACAGCTACTTAGTGGGTTACAATGCGGACTAACCCCAGACCCCAGTTGCCACGCAAGTCGGCCCTTTGGTCTTTTGGGTGCTGTTTTGGTGTCTCTTTTCTCACTCTTGATCACCCGTTCGTGATGGTTTCAAGGAGGGGACCAAAAGGAACCAAACCGCAAAACAAACGAGGCCGAATGGATCAGAACAACTGGGGTCCATTTGGTTTGTTTTGCGAACTGAGGAGCATGAGGTCTGTTGACCTCAAACAGAAAAGCTCCAGAAGGGCGCAATTCAATTTTTGTTTGTTCTGTCTTTTTCAAGCAAAAGGACCCAAAAGCCAAACCAAAACAAATGGCGTCTCCAAGACACCTGTTAGTCTGCAAAATATACTACATCTCCAAAACCTGAAATAAGGGATCCCCAAGCAATGGATCTTTTCCATGAGCTCTTTGTACCTGCAGGTGAGCTTGCCATCAATTCTGCAGCATTGGAAAACCCCGAAATCCAAATCCTCGTGCAACCCGGTTTTCCATTGGAAAGCCACGACCAAATCTATTCGCAATCCCACTTCCTGAGTGGATGGCCCAAATAAAAACTGTTTCTTTGTCACTAAAGTAGTTGTCCCAAAAAGTGACGAAAGTCCAGCACCCCTTGTGCGGGTTACTCAGGAAGTGCCAGGGCCTCAGGCAGTGCCTGGACCTCAGGACCTCAGAAAAGCATAAAGTCCCACCGGACGTGTCCAAAGTCCAAAAAACTCAGGCAAGAAGCGACTGAAGTGACCCTTCAGTGGCTGCAGTGGCTGCAGTGACTCAAGAGACTGAAGTTCTAGTAGGGATCCTTCTTTCTAGAAAACCTCCGGAAACCCAGGGCAACGGCCAGTTTTCGGAAAGAACGATAGTTAGAAAGAACGGAAAAGGAATCAACCCTTAGAGAAGTCCAAAGAACTCCCACGACCGAAGTGACCGGAAGTGCGCCCAGCTCCGGTCACCTCCCCCGTTTCGCTCGCTCGCTCCCGTCACCGCGACCCGAGGCTTCGGCTGCCGAAGGCCGCGGCGGTGGATTGGCAGAGCTCGGAGGGCGGCACCGGGCCTTCCGACGCAGGGCGCGCCCGGCGCGCTGACGGATGTGGCGGGGGCTCGTCTCGCTGTTTGTCTTCCACGGGTTTAAAAAAGGGAAAGCCAAAAGGGAAAACGTGAAGCCGGTGTTGGGGGTCCTTGGTTTTGCTTCTGCTTTTTCATGTTTGTTTCCTTTTGCGTTTAAAATTGTCTGTTTTTTGTTTGTGCGTAGGTGTGTGTGTGTGTGTGTTCCTTCTGGTCTGCTCCGAATCACAGAAAAGGTTGTCAAGGTGGTCCGTTTGACCTCCTTTCTTCGGGGACAAGAGGAAACCTGCGCTTTTTGGTAGTCCAGAGCAGCCGTAGGTTTCCATGACTTGCCGCTTCCTGCCGGGGGACATCAATTATTCTGCGCTAAAAACCATATTATGCGTAATACCTACCTGAAATAGCCATCATTTCTTCTAGGAATCCGCGGCCCATGAATCAGCCAGCAGTAGGTAAGGTTATTATCATCCGGCCCTGAATCAAGCAATCCATCAATGAATCGACATCGTGGGGTCTGGAATCCGCTGACCGGCGAGCTGGCAGTAAGCCAGTCAGCCGGTCAGGCTGAGTTGCAGCTTTGGAGATAAAGTTCCCTCTTAAATAAATGGCTGGTTGTTTTTCCACAAAAAGCTTCTCCATAAAATTGGGAGTTGGCTTCGATTAAAAACAAAGTAGTGGTCCATAAAATTGGGAGTTGGTGTCCATAAAATGACAGGTTGTGTTTCATACAATTGGGAGTTTGATTCCATAAGATGACATGTGTGTTGTTATAAAATGGCAGGTTGTGTTTCAAAAAATTGGGGATGTGAGGTTGGTGCCCATAAAAATGGGAGCGTGCTTTTTCATAACATGGCAGGTTATTCTCCATACAAAGGCAGGTTGTTTCATGAAATGGCAGGTGAGCGGCGTTCAAAAGGTCTTGTTCAAATCTAGGTCGTAAGGAACTCTTACGCCAAGGTGCTTGGGCGAGCTTACGCGCAATACAGGTTTTCTTACACGCTTGCATTTATATAAGTTTCCCTTGCGCAAACCTTGCGCGCAGCTCAGGCGAACACAATTCCTTACGAAACTGGATGGTTTCCTTCCGGCTCATTTCACTAGCTGGGGGGCTTCGAGCCCGCAACCTTTCCGGACCCCCCAGCCAATTGTGCCACACAGCTGCGCCGCGCGGAGCTGAACCCCCAAAAACCAGAAGAAAAAAAAGCGGCAAAACCAAAAACGATCTTGCGCAATCCACTCCCCAGCCACGCTTTGCCAGCTAACTAGCCTCAAAGAGGCATTAGTGACATGCACTAACTCCTTTTTTGGGTGTTTGAGCCCCTAACAAGACATTCCAAGTGCGGCGCGCACTCATTCGTTTTTTGCGTTTTCCACTCCTCAGCCACGTTTTGTCAGCTAACTAGCCTCAAAGAGGCATTAGTGACATGCACTAACTCCGTTTTTGGGTGTTTGAGCCCCTAACAAGACATTCCAGGTGCCCAAAACCAAAAACAAATTAGCGGCGCGCACTAATTCGTTTTTGCGCAATCCACTCCCCAGCCACGTTTTGCCAGCTAACTAGCCTCAAAGAGGCATTAGTGACATGCACTAATTCCATTTTTGGGTGTTTGAGCCCCTAACAAGACATTCCAGGTGCCCAAAACCAAAAACGAATTAGCGGCGCGCACTAATTCGTTTTGCGCAATCCACTCCCCAGCCACGTTTTGCCAGCTAACTAGCCTCAAAGAGGCATGAGTGACATGCACTAATTCCATTTTTGGGTGTTTGAGCCCCTAAGAAGACATTCCAGGTGCCCAAAACCAAAAACGAATTAGCGGCGCGCACTGTTTTCCCAAGTTGCCCCAAAACACATCAGCAGCAAGTTTAGGGTGTCTGATCCCCTGCCACTGCCAAATGACTACGCAAAACCACCAAAACAATCCAAACCGCTTACGCGACCAACGTTCCTCGAAAAAAGCTTGCGCGGCCTTACGCCGCCACGTGTTTTCCTTACGCGTGGGACCCTTATGACCACCCCCTTTCAATCGCAATACAACCAGGTTTTGAACCCTGCTCAGGTGTTTTTGCACACAATGGCAGGTGTTGTTGTTTAAAAGAAAAAACAGCTGCATTGGAGCTTCGCCCTCCTGAAGGGACCGCTGTATTCCTTTGGCTCCTTCTCCACCCCCACCCACCCATCGACGCGCCTGCCGAGCAGCCGATGGCGAGACCCATGGAGTCTAAAGCTGCCTGGAACTCAAGTCGCAAGTCACTCGCATGCGATCCGCTCAGACTTGGTTGCTGTTGACCCCCCTGCAAAATGTTCAACTCTTTGGGGGTTTAGTGGAAAACTCCTTTACTTCCAAAAAAGTTAAAGTCTGAAGATCCAACCCAATAACAGCCACCACCTTTTTCTGGACAATTGATCGACCCCCTTGTAGTGAAGAATTCCCTTTTGCGGGGGTCGGCCATTTTGTCACAAAGGCTAGCAAAAGATCTCCTGGATGCGATCCGCTCATGAACATACCTTTCTGGTGCGATGAGTAGGGAATGAGGGAATGAACATCTCAAACTTTGACATACTGTAAATGGTTCCGAAATCCGTTTCGCACCACGAAATGAAACCATGGTTGAAACCGTTGTTTGTTGGTGTTTGCAGGGGAATCGAATCATTGCAGGGGCTTCTCAGGTGGTGCAGGATTTCGTCCCTCCGCAGTAGGTGGTCTTTTGGAATTCTAGAAGGCCCTGGTAAATGGCATAACCCCATCGAAACCAGTGCCATCCAAGCTAACCTAAAAAGGACCCTATGCTCTTGACTCTTGAGGGTACGCCGTAACTCCAAGCGCTAGATTCTGGGCAAATCACCATACTCAGTTGCGCAAAGGACCTGGAAATAGAAGATCACCTTTTGAACATATGGACCAAATCAGGGAACCAAAAGGTCAAAAGGTCGGCTTGGGCAAATTGGCGTATAATACTGAGTAAGCAGGATAGGCGAGCTCGTGTTACTCGTGACAAGTTCCTGAGTTGAGTCCTTTTCCATTCTGTTCACCATGGTTCCTTTCAGAAACCACAAGAACAGAAATGCGAAGTGTATGGCTAGAACTGCTAGTGCAGCCAGGTGATCAAGTGTCTGTTGGTTTCCTTTGTGGAAAAATCATGGCTGCTGTTGGGTTCATCTCAACACGGGAACTCACGCAGTCAAGGCTCGCCCCCACGGGGACTGGACGCTTGAATTGACTCATAACCGCGTGCAAACTTCGGAAAGAGCACATAAAGGAGTTCACACAAGCATGCGAAAGCCTGCTACTGCAGAAGCTGCTTATCACGGACATCATAACCCAGGAAAATGGTTGTAAACACCCAATCGATGCACAAGCACCTTTGAAGCCACTGGATGTATCCTACAAGGCCATTGCTGGGTTTGGGAGTAGACACCCCCTCCTCACCCCTCCTCATAGGGGTATCCATAACATTGCACGGCTCCAAATACCTGAGCATACTCTTGTGTGTGTGACTAGGCCCAATGTGTTAAGGAGAGGGCAGTTCCCTTTCAGAAGGACGCGCAAAACGGTACAAAAGGCATACCTCATGCCTTCGCTGCCTTCGCTGCATTCTTTTGCGGATTGGCTTGCTACAGCTGACAGCTTTTGGCTGGCAACTCCAAGCCGTTCGCATGGAGAATCATCGTACAACGCGCTGCAAAGGTGCCAACACATCTGCGATGCTGGCATCACCTTCAAGCCGCTTCAACGCCCATCTAATGCTGGCAACCCCTTGTGCATTCATGTATGACCTCACTTCCTTCGCACGCAGCACCAGAGTCGGCAGCACAGCCAGCAGGGAGTCGTCTCCTGCCTCTGACAGCTTGGCCGCTGCCCAAATCACGTTGGCAACCTCTTGTGCATTCATGTCAGAGCTCACTTCCTTTGAACGCACCACCAAAGTCGGCAGCATAGCCAGCACGGAGTCATCTCCTGCCTCTGACAGCTTGGCCGCTGCCCAAATCATGTTGGCAACAGCTTGTGCATTCATGTCAGAGCTCACTTCCTTTGCACGCACCACCAGAGTCGGCAGCACAGCCAGCAGGGAGTCATCTCTTGCCTCTGACAGCTTGGCCGCTGCCCAAATCACGTTGGCAACCTCTTGTGCATTCATGTCAGAGCTCACTTCCTTTGAACGCACCACCAAAGTCGGCAGCATAGCCAGCACGGAGTCATCTCCTGCCTCTGACAGCTTGGCCGCTGCCCAAATCATGTTGGCAACAGCTTGTGCATTCATGTCAGAGCTCACTTCCTTTGCACGCACCACCAGAGTCGGCAGCACAGCCAGCAGGGAGTCATCTCTTGCCTCTGACAGCTTGGCCGCTGCCCAAATCACGTTGGCAACCTCTTGTGCATTCATGTCAGAGCTCACTTCCTTTGAACGCACCACCAAAGTCGGCAGCATAGCCAGCACGGAGTCATCTCCTGCCTCTGACAGCTTGGCCGCTGCCCAAATCATGTTGGCAACAGCTTGTGCATTCATGTCAGAGCTCACTTCCTTTGAACGCACCACCAAAGTCGGCAGCATAGCCAGCACGGAGTCATCTCCTGCCTCTGACAGCTTGGCCGCTGCCCAAATCATGTTGGCAACAGCTTGTGCATTCATGTCAGAGCTCACTTCCTTTGCACGCACCACCAGAGTCGGCAGCACAGCCAGCAGGGAGTCATCTCTTGCCTCTGACAGCTTGGCCGCGGCCCAAATCACGTTGGCAACCTCTTGCTCGTCCATATGATTCGCAGTCTGCTTGGCCGCTTGTGTCAAGCTGCTTTGCAGATTTGCCACGAGTGAATGCATTCGCTTGTCCAGCTTTGCAGCTGCCCAGTATGTATTGGCAACTGCTCGCGCATTTCTTTCGGCCTCCACTCCAGCCCTGCCTGCACCATCTCGAGTCAGCCTAATCAAGTCTGGCAGGAAAGGGTCGCTCAGTACCTCGGCGGAAATACTTGCCTGCATTTTGGCCATCCTAGCCCATGCGGCGGACAAGGCGATGAAGTCCAGTTTTGGGTTGTTCCGCTCCTGCCGCACCACTCCCAACACCTCCGAGGCGGAGGGAGCTTCCATGATCTTCTTGGTGATCACCTGGCAGGGTGCTAGGACACAACCATTTCTTCCATACCACTGGTAAGCCCTCGTCACAACGTAGTTCCCCATCTTAAGGGAAAATTCCCTCGTAGCACCCAAGTTGTCTTCCCTCTGAATAATTGGATCGCAGTTGTTTCTCAGTTCGTTGAAACATATGTCAGTCTTCCAAAGATCTACCGGGCGAGGCGGGTCCACCTACCGCCCGCAATGTCACAGAAGTGCGGTGCATTTTTTAAGTACACCAGGCTAAACGTATGTGTGTAAGTAAAAGGGAATGATAAAACATAAAAGGTAAGGCTGTGCCATCTCATTATATAATGTTGACTTCGGAGGAATCCGAAGGACTGTATTGATCAGGGGTGGTTCCCCTTCAAAAAAGGAAATCATCTGTTTTAGGGCTTTCCTCTGATCAGTAGGGTCATTCGGATTAAACCGAAGCCAACAATATCGGTATCTATTTGGATGTTCGGCCAAGCTAGCAAGCAGTTAGCCAATTGGGGTATAACCCCTGAGTAATAAGGTTCACCCAACTTAGGGGAACAACTTAGGGGAACTTGCAGGTGGCTTGAAACCTATACCAACAACTGACTAACTTGACAAATCCAACACCCAAGGAACTGTAACTCCCCCAGCACCGCCTTCGGATGCGTATAGCCGTCCAAACTTCTCCCTGGCTTGTCTCGCGCCGGGCGCCCGGCGGAGCCGCGCCGCTCCCGCACACGACGCACCACGCGAAACCTGGACTCCGCCTCAACCAGGGTGGTCCTTTTGGCCCCGGTTCCATATCTGCAAGAGGAACTCTATTACGGCTACGCTTCTAGACACGCCTTTTTTCTCACTTCTTTTTGACTTCTGTTTTTTGGGGGGGTTCTTTTTGACTTTGTTTTTTTTTTTTTTGGGGGGGGGGGGGCATGATTCCATGCGTTTGATTTCTCGCGCTCGGCACTTGTTTTCTTCCGGACTTTTGAGGGGGCCATGCGATGGCCTCGGCGCCCCGTCCCCGAGCCCTCGGCCCCAGGAAGGCGTCGCGGCGCAGCAGCTGCCACGCCAGGAGCAACGGCAGCAGCGTGCGGGCCATGGCTCCCCCGGTTGGCTCGTTTGCTTGGGTTTGCTTTTGTTGAAAGGAAAACGGAGCTTCCCGCTGGTTTCCCATTTAGACAACCAGAAAACAGAGGTACTTTCAAACCACAGACAACCCCACATCTCAATTAACAGAGGAGCTTGGCGGTAAGATGGGTCCTGTGCAGCTCTGGGCTGAATGTCCTCCAAAAATAGTATACTATGCTTGACGAAAGTGAGGGCTCTCTGTATTTGAAGAAGGGTTGATATCGAAATGTTGGGAACAAAAACAACTGCTGAGTTCACAGGGCCAGAAACCGTCTGCACCTGTTTTCCCTTGACCAAAATTCACATGATCTGTCCAAAACATGTTTGCAAGCTCAACTGGCATCAAAAGCTTCCCAGAAGCACCCGGAGAGACATACGTCCAGTCTCTGAACCAAAATGCAGGGGCAAGGATATCGAAAGCAGAGGTCCCATGTTGGAGAAAATGGGCGTCTTCTGTGAGCAGACTGGCCGCCTTTTTCAGGAAAACCCAAGAGGAACCACCCACCTTGGGGTTCACAAACTCTGAGAGCCGATTCAAAATGGTGCCATGTTGCCCTCTCGTTTACGGGAGTCCGACAAAGGGTTCATCATCTCCCCACTGCGACTTTTGGCTGACAGGCAGACACAGAACCCGGCCAAAGAAGTCGACTCACAGCTGAGCTCCATGTCGAGGACCCAGGTAGTGCTAAGAAACAACACAAGTTCATTTTGGACAAGCCAGGTGTTCTCTGCTTTCTCTCCTGGGAAACCCAAGCTCAAGTTTTGGGGGTCCCAGAGAAACAGCATTCCCAAAATGAACGGGGGAAGAGTTGTTTGTCCATGATCCACGACCGTACTATGAAAACGCTCGGCTCCATCCTTTCGAACATTTTGCCTGGCTGAAATCTAGTGAGACACCCCGTTGTCCGAAGTGGGGTGTTTTCCCCAAAAAAACCGGGGGCCCCTTGAAATGGCTGCAGCGGTACCTGTTTGGTTTCCCGCACCTCTCCAGCAAAGCCCTCTGCTTGGGACCCAAATCGGTGACAGATGGGAGAACCTCTGGATCTCTCCGCTGTAAGGTCTAAGGGGACTTGCAGCGGGGGGTTGCTGATGTGTCTATGAAAGAGCCCTGGGCTTGCTAATATGTATGTTCAGGAGTTTGCAAGACACGAACCTCAACATCCAGCCTCACATACCTGGGCCAGATTCAGCCCTCCTGCGAAAAGAAATCACTTAGTTGAAAGGACGAATGATGAAAACCAAATGGCAAAAAATAAGCCCTAAATCCTTCCACAAACTCCAAACCGACTAATCACGGGACATGTTCAGACCCAACCTCTCATGATTGTTGCTAACACCCTCCCTTTCCTCCGAACGCCGAACGCCGTGCCTTCGTTTTCTCGTGCGGTTTCTAAAACGCGCCTGTGAAAGCGCCCAAGCCCCTGAAGGGCTTGAAACCACCAATCCAAACCACCAACTAGAGGCAAACCGAACAAACATACTGTGGATGGACGAAATCCATTTCGCACCACTTTGAAACCACGAAGAACCATTGTTTGCGAGTATTTACAGGGGAATCATCATTCCAGGGTTTCTTAGGTGGTGCAGGATTTCGCCCATCCATAGTAGGTGTTGGTAAAATAATGGCTCTGGTAGATGATGAAACAACCAGGGCCATCGATTCTCTACCAAAGCCAACCAAACATGCCATGTTTAGTGGCCATGGGGAAAACAGGAATCGGCCTCCCTGTTCTTGGTTGGTTTCGCTTCCAGGAATCGGAACCCTTCCCCAAAAACAACGGAAACGATGCTTACCCCTTAAAACTCCAAAGCCCTGGGGAAGTTAATATTTTACATACATATAGCCCATGTTACCCAAAAAGTTGAAAAGTTGTGCTTGTAAGAGGTAAGGATGGTTGCACCAGCGGCGCCCCGCGCTCGTCGCTCTGCGCGCTCCGCGCCTGGCCGGGGTACTTGCCGAAGTAGAGGCGCATCTTCAGGGACCGCGCCACGCTGCTGCCAGAGATGCTGTACCTGGACTCGGTTGCTTTGTGCTCACCTGCTAGAAGCTTAACTGTTAATGGTTTAATACTGAAAAACCCAGTAGTTGGCAAAAAGTTTAAGTCCTAGCATCCAAGCAAAATGCACCAAAGTGGAGACCGGGTCTGTTGGAAAAGGGCAAGCGCCCTTGGGCAAAAAACCAACAAGCTTCTTTCAAAGGGGGGGAAGGCAGGTCTCCCATCGCGGGGTTGGGGCTTGGCTTTTTGAGGCATGGCTTTGGTTCGGATCTTGGAGAAAGCCGGCGGGTTAGGGTATTGGAGGGGGCGGTGGCTCCTACGAAAGGGAGTCCTTTTTGTTTACCTGACTCGGCCAAGCCGAGACCCAGATTGCCCCAAGGAATGGCAGCCTCGGTTGGCAAAAGGCGCTACAGAATGAACACGGGAAGCTGCTGCAAATGCATCATGGACCCTGAAGATAATGCGCAAAACGGGCAGCTGTTTTGACGCGGATGGTTGGGGCTTTGCCCAAGAAATGGATGCTGCGCCTTGCCCACGTGCTAGCTGTAGCTCGTCACGAGTGGGGGGAGTTGTAGGGGAAGAACTCGCGAAACTTCCTCTCAAGGTACGCGTGGAAGGGCCCATCTTGTGCGGTCCACTCAACCCGTGCGGTCTCTACAACAAGATGAAACAAGAGCAAATAGCTCAGATCCTCACGCTGAATAAGCCGAATCTTCTTGAAACTCTGGATATGTTCTTCCCTTTTCCGTTCTGGTAGCATGTCTAGATCCTCTGTCAAATCCCTTCCGAATGGTGACATCTCCCAATTCTTCAGAGCTGTCAACACGCGGTCGAAAAACATGAAACATTCAATCTCCAACTCGCTCGCCTCCTGGCGACTTGTAAGCTTCTGAGTCACTTTCCTCAAAGGATATAATAACTAAAGTCGCCATACAACCGCCTCGAGCAGCAATCCCTTTGGTCTCCCTTTCGAAAAGAAAGTCTTGATTCCGATAATGGCAGCTCTGGCTGCGGGCGTCTCATCCAGAAACTGATTGATGTTTGCAGAGTTTTCATAGAAGTCGTCCCCGCCACGAAGATTTGGAAACTCTTCCAACCTTGGGTTTGCAAGCACAAGGTCAACTGGAGTTGTGCATTCCATGGTGAACTTGATGGCCGGCCACATTTCCGATTGTGACAGGCCCTGTGACACAATACAGTTTCTCCAAGTTCTGGGCTACCTTGCGCTTGTCCATCTCGGTAAAGAGTTCATCCGCCCTCTCACTCCCAGGAATTCTTCTCACCTGGATGTCGAAATCGCAGTCATGTCTTGTAAGAAACCCCACCATTTCGACAAGAACATTGTCGCCAAGAGCATGTTGGCATGCTTCCACCAGTTCATCGTATGATCGTCTGGCAAAACGAAGCTTCGCTCCTTTCATGCCGACAGCTGCAACCGTGAAACCCTTGACCAAACCGTCCTGGTTTGCCATGTAAAACCGGTTTCTGACTTGAGGAGCAAGCTGATGCCACTCCGCTGAACTTCTGTAGAACCACTGAACCACCCGAGGATCCTTCCACTCCTCTGCCAATGAAAATGCCAAAACATGCTTGTCGTGTCCATATGGCCACCAGCAGGCCCAAAAAGCACAGGTAGTCGCAATGCCTGTCACTATGGCATGTAGGCTGCTTCGCCTCCCGTTGATGTACATGGCTTGGCTTGCTGGCCGCGGCTGTGCAAGGTATCTGATTCAGTCACAACCTTTATTATGCATGTCTGGAACATTTACCCATATAAAACACCAACGCCTATCTCCGTGTCCATTGTTTTAGCGGAATACTGGTTGTACCATTCATTGATGGTGTGAGTAAGCAACTTTAAGCAGAATGAGTGTTTTTTCCCGTGTTTCACAGAGCAACAAAAAACAACCACCGACGTGTTTTCAAGAAGGGTGCCCTCAAAAATGGCCACACCATGACCCAAATCTTTTTGGTGTGTCTTTGCATATCTGCTGTATGCGTTTCTAAGCTTGGAAAGAAGCCAACAAGAAACTGAACAGGGGGCAAGGTTGGACCCTTTCTCGGGGTGATTTATATTTTCACTGGCAACCCAGTGACCCACGGTGGATGCAGGGAACACCTCTAATGTACCGCCGTTTGCCCTAGTTTGGTGGTTGAGTATGGTTGGTTGACTTGCAATATTTACGGCATCCACCGTAGCAATACAAGGCGATGGATGGCCTTTGGGGTTGCCGAAGCTACAGATGGCTGCTCAAGCTGAAAATCCAAAAGTCAAAGGTCAAACGATTCGTTTTACGTGCATGAGGATGCGCATTTCATTTGAGGGCTACCAAAGCTTAAAATTGCTGTTGTGTGAGGATATGGGTTTGTCTTGAAATAGGGCACCCCCAAGAATTGCAGTCTTCCTCTCGGTTTACCTTTGAAGCAACCGCGAAAGGGTACCTTGCCTCACACAAAACACACACACACACCGCACGAATGCATAGGCAGTCTTCAGCCTCTTCATTTGACTGTTGACATGGCACCACTTCTGACCTCCCAACAGTAACAAGTCCAGGAAGGTCGAAAGATTCGAAAGACAGATCTTCCTCGGGTCCGAACAAAGTTGGGGATTCGGACTAGCAAAGCCACTCCCTGAAACATCAAAATGATTGTCCCTGCTTAGCGCCGATAGTACTACCAACCGCGTGGCCTTCTTTTCGCCGGATGCGCCGTCACTCGTCACTCGCCCCTCGCGGACCTCTCGATACACACTTTGGGCCCCGGGTGATTCTGTTTCGCTGTGTAGTGGATGGCTCAACCTCCAAAAAAGACTCACTGTTTGCTGTGGAAACTCTTGATTTCCCGAGCAGTTAGAGTCTAAAGACCCAACCAAATAGCAGCCAAGACAACGGGAACCTGGCGAAGGCTTACTTTCTCCAGTGGCAACTATAGGATCCACCAGGCGGATTCCAGGTCCAAAAGTGTCCTTTGC